CACGTCGCTCAGCAAGACCTCCAGTAGGACCAGTGTAGGGAGAAGGAGCAGGTAGTGGGGAGGCTGGCTGTAACTGTAACTATGACGGGACAGGCTGTGGACACTCTAAGGAAGGAGGAGGACCAGTAGAAGGAGTGGAACGAAGTACGGCCGAGGCTGCGCGGCGACACCAGACACAGCAGGGCCAGCACCAGTACCCCCAGCGGTAGCACCAGCGCTAAAAGCACCTCCAGCTCCATTACCTCCAGCAACACCAGTAGCACCCCCAGAAGGACCGCCTCCAGGACCGACAGCAGTAGCCTCAGCGCCAACACCCTCAGCAGCTCCAGCTCCAGAAGTACCCGTAGGCCCAGCAGCTCCAATACTCCCAGTACGAGCACCTCCGGGACCCGCGGCACCAGCACCCTCAGTAACCGAAGAAACTCCAGCTCCAGCAGCATGCCTCCAGCGCTGGGCAAACCACTCGCGCAGCTCCTGTGGAGAGAGTGGCTCCCGCCGAGACGAATCACCCGGAGAACCGCTATACACAGCACCGCTAGACGCCACACGAGCAGGCCCAGCTCCCTCAGGCTCCGCACCCCTAGGCTCAGCACCTCCAGGCGTAGCACCCCCACGCGTAGCACCCCCAAGCTCAGCACCCCCTGGCTCAGCACCCTCAGGCTCAGCACCCCCAGTCGAAGTAACCTCAGGCTAAGCACCCCCAGGCATAGCACCCACACGCTCAGCACTCCCAGAGTCAGCACCCCAACGCTCAGCACCCTCAGCAGCACCAAAGTCACCAGCGACCTCGACAGGCTCAACTGCGTCTACCTGGGACACACCTGAAGGGGCAGGACCCTGAGGGGGATGGGGGTCTACCGGGGGGGGACCTGGCACAAGGAAGAGCGAAGGCGGGGGGAGGGACGGAGTGCGGTAGGGGAAAAGACGGTAGTAGGGGACCGACTCGTCGAACGTGACATCTTGGGAGGACAGAACACGGCGAGAGGTGGGGTGGTAGAACTGCCACCCTGGCGCGTCAGGGGGGAAGCCAAGGAAGACGCAGGGAGCAGCACGAGGGGACAACTTGTCCGTAGACAAGTCGCGGACAAACGCCCGAGATCCCCAGACACGGAACGCAGACGCATCGCCAACCTTCCCCGTCCACAGCAAAGCTGGGGAGGTCTCCGGCATGGAGACCCTGGGGTGAAGGTTGATCTGATGCGCCGCGTACCGCACCGCAAACAACCACAGAATATGGGGGGCAGCCGCATGCATCATGGACGTACGAGCGACGTCCATGACCATGCCAATGCGGCGCTCAGCAATCCCATTTTGCTGAGTAGAGTCCGAAAGCGTGAAGGTCTGGCAGATGCCTCGTGCACGAAAGTAGGCTCGCAGAAGGCCAGAGGAGAACTCTCCGCCTCTGTCAGAGTGCAGACGCAGAACAGGGAAGTCCGAGCCGAAGCTCTACCTGAGCTGGAGACGAGCTGCGCGGATCCAGTCGATCAACACCGCAGTGACATCACCCTTGCTGCGCAAGGGGAAGACTGTGGTGTAACGCGAGTAGTCGTCAACCACCAGCACGAAGAAGCGCTCGTGACCCTGTCCACGGACGCGGGCCGGGCCCCACACGTCCATGTGAGGTGTCTGCAGCGGGGCCTCTATCGGAGGAAACTGGGAGGAGTGAGGGGCAGCCCGCTGCTGCCCCTCAACACAGGGGACGCAGGTAGGGCCAGGCCCCGGAGGAAGGGGAGGGAGGGACCGGGGAAGACCAGAGACAAGGAGATGGGAGGCCATGCTTCGGAGACGAAGCAGGGAGGGGTGACCAAGGCGGTGGTGCCAGAGGAGAGTCTCGCGAGACATGAGGCGACACGAGCAGGGGGCAGACTCACGACCAGACCTGGACGCTGCAGAAAACACCTGACCCGACGCAGCTACTTAACCAGACGCAGTGACTGGAGGAGACTCAGTGGTCAGTGTGTACAGGCTCGACCCCGGCCGACGTGTAAACGTGGCCAGGTGTCGGCCTGTCCGAGCGTCCGTGCAGTGGGTCACCCGCTGACTCGCAGGAGTGAACTGGTAAACCCCCGCATCCTGTAGGTGAGTGTGCTGACCTAGAGAACGAGGGGAGTGTGCAGTGAGGCTGCTGCTCTAGGGGAGGACTGTGGAGAAGTGAGCAAGGACAGGATCCCCAGAGGGGTCTGCTAGAGAGACTGCAACTGGCCGACCAAGCGGCGTGAGTGTAGTGCGGTCTCGAAAGGAGTGAGAAGTTCTGAGTTAAGGGTGAAGGTGTGGGAGGCCGAAGCCGACGCTGTACCTAAGAGAGCAGACTCACCAGCACCTGAGGAAGAAGACGCACCAACACCTAGAGCAGCAGCCTCGCTAGCACCTAGAGCAGCAGCCTCACCAGTACCGAGAGCAGCAGTCTCAATGCCCGGGTCGGGCGGAAAACACCGGTAAGAGTCAGCCTCATCACTAATACTCACAGCATACATGGCAGCAAGAATAGCATCAATGTCTTTGTCAAAGATAGCTACCCCCGCCCTAGACAGCTCGCCCCAGCGAGGGATCTCAGTGGCCTCAGGGAACTGGTGACGCCAAGCGTCCATCAGGCGGCCAAAGCAGCGCTGGGTGGAGTGCGCACCCCCGCACTGCTCACCCGCACGGTCGCCGGTGCGTAGGACGTAGGTGCACGGACCAGTACCCCCACCCCGCTGGCGTGCAGTGTACCACTCACGGAGCTGCTAAGGGGGGGGGATGTCACGAGTGCGGTGCTACTGCTGCTGCTGGCGCTGACCACCACCGGAGCCGACCCTCTGCGTAGCGCCACCCCGACCAGCTCCGCCTCCTACGCCGCCGCCTCCTCCTCCGCCGCCACCTCCGCCACCTCCGCTCCCACCGCCACCGCCGCCTCCGCCTCCGCCTCCACCGCTGTCACCGACACCTCCACCCCCGCCACCACTCTCACCACCACCCCCACCCCCTCCACTGCCTCCACCGCCACCTCCGCCACCCCTACCAGCCCCTCCAGCGCCCTTGCCCTCCTTGCCCTTGCCGGGGCGGCGTCTCCCGCTCGGGGCAGACGCAGCGCCGACTGACTCGAAACCAACGATGTCGGCCGCAGCAGCAGAGGCAACAGAGGGCAAAAGGGGGGAGGGGGAACACCCCTCAAAGACGGAGGTGCGAGGGTCACCACGAGAGGCTCCTACAACGACTATGCTCTTCTCTACTGCTAGGAGGGCCTTCTCGAGGAGGTTAACGGTGAGAGTGGTGGGGCAAACTGAGAGGAAGTGTTCCCTGACTATGCGGAGAGAGTCAGGGAGCTGGGTGACTATGTAGTAGAGGGTGATGTACATGGAGGGGGGGTTCTTGGCGCAGAACTCAGCAGGAAGCGCAGCGCGGTAGCGAGTGTCACTAGTGCGGAGGTGCGCAATGAGGTCAGCGACTGTGGGAAAGGCAGCAAGGTCAGGGAAGAGGTACGGTAGCATGAGGCGGCTCAGTGCAGCAGTGGCAGGGGAAGAGTAGCGTGCAACTACAGCGTCGTACAAGGTCTGAGCACTCTTGTACTGGCTATAGTGCGCACGCTCAGAGGTAGGCAGGTGGCGACGCACAGCAAGATGTGCAGCAGCATCGCGTGTGGCCCACTGTGAGCGAACAGTGGCGTTAGCATCAGAAGCAGGGGCAGGAGAGGCACCAGAGGTGAGGTCAAAGAGGGAAAGGCCGTCTGCCCTATCGCACTGTAGGAAAAGCTGCAGGTCATCTACCCAGACGTCAAAGTCAATGGCCTGACCCTCAGCGTCAAAAGTGAGGACACTAGGGGTAGCCATGACAGCAGTAGACTAACAGCGCGAACAGTAGGGTAGGGGCAGTGTAGTGATAGAGGTGCTGCTCTTACCGGACAGGGCGGCTCGGGCTGCTCGGGGGCTCTGCGACTCGGCAGGAACTGCAGCTCGGCGGCTCGGCGACTCGGCGGCTCGGGCGGCTCGGGCGGCTCGACGGTACGGCGACTTGGCAGCAACTGCGGCTCGGCAACTTGGCGGCTTGGGCGGCTCGGGTGGCTCGGTGGTACGGCGGCTCGGCAGCACAGGCGGCTCAGGTGGCGCGGCGGCTCGGGCGGCTCGGGTGGCTCGGGCGGCTCGGCAGCAGCTCGGCGGTGCCGGCGGCTCGGTGGTGACGGCGGGGCCGGGCGGAGCGGCGACGGGGCCAGCAGAGGCGGTGGCGGGGCCGCGTGGGGAGGACGGCGGGGCCGGGTGGAGCGGCGACGGGGCCAGCAGAGGCGGCGCCGTGGCCGGGAAGGGCAGCGCCGGGGCTGCAAGGTAGGCGACGGGGCCAGCAGAGGTGGCGCCGGGTCCGGGAAGGGCGGCGCCGGGGCCGCAGGGGTAGGCGACGGGGCCAGCAGAGGTGGCGCCGAGGCCGGGAAGGGCGGCGCCGGGGCCAGTAGAGGCGGCGCCGGGGCCGGGAAGGGCGGCGCCGGGGCCGCAGGGGTAGGCAACGGGTCCAGCAGAGGTGGCGCCGGGGGCCGGGAAGGGCGGCGCCGGGGCCGCAGGGGTAGGCGACGGGGCCGCTAGGGCGGCTAGGAAGGGGGTCGCGAGGGCGGCCTGAAGAGGCCGCGAGGGCGGCTCGACGCGACGGAGCCGCGAGGGCGGCGGATCGGGGCCGCGAGGGCGGCGCGACGCGGCCGCTAGGGCGGCGCGACGTGACGGGGCCACTAAGGCGGCGCGACAGGGTCGAAAAGGGGGGGGAGCGCGACTCGGGCAGAGTAGAGCGCGCTCCGGGCAGGAAAAAAATGTGGTGGGCCCTAGGAACAGTTCCCACAGGGGAACCTGCTCGATACCATGAGAAAATGAACGAGAATGAATGATGACAAAGGGAAAGTTGGGTACAAGTACAAACCGTAGAAAGCTGTACCCCATATGTGCTACCCCACTATAGCCTACAGTAGCTATGTCATATAAATCTGACAGAGGAACAGCAGGAGGTGCATCAGCAGGTGCAGCACGGCTGTTAGCGGCGTTGGCGACTCACTCTGCTGCAGGAGCAGGCTGGTAGAGGTTTCCACTCCGGATCTCCCTGAACTGAGTCTGAAGCACAGAGATGTGTTTCTCTTGCTTCTTGAGCTGATCTTGCACGAACTGGAGAGTGATCTGCAGGTCCAGGATGAAGCTGGAGGTGTCATTTCCCTTAGGAATCGACTGCACCTCCCTGGTCAGCTTCTCAATCAAGGCATGAAGCTTAACAGAATCAGCCTCCAAGTTCTGGATGCGGTAGTGCTGCTCTCCAATGAGAATGTTCTGCTCCGTGATTTGAGTGTGAAGCTTAACAGCGATGTCCTCAGTCTCATTAGAGACACCCTCTGCAGAGCGAGCCTCATCCTCATTGTCAGCATCAACCTTAAGGTCAGCTTCACTTCCATTGATCTCCATGTCAACCACGAAGTCCTCAAGGTTGAGATCAATGTCAGCAACAGCAGCACCATTATCTCCTTCATTGCCAACAACAGGCACCTCCTTAGTAGCATCCATCTCTTGATCAGAAGCCATGAAATCGGTTAAGGAGAGGAGATCTCAACAGATCTTATAATAATTTTAAAGAAATCTGATTACTCTTCTAGAATAATCCAATACAGAATCTCTTAAGATTGACTTGTTTGCTTAATCTCTCTATCACCTCAATGATAGAACAAGATATACTCCAAAGAGTAATCCTCAACAAGTCCTTGTAGATCTAAAGATTAACTCTTCTACCCGGGGTAGATCAAGAGTCTTCCACCAAAGGTGGGTAAGAGAAAGTATTCTCTTCAAGTTTCTTCTCTATGTTGATGATAAAGAAGAAGCTCCTTGTAGATCTTGCACTTCAATGAAGAGTTGGAATAGTTGTAGCTTGGATTTTGTAGATCTTTGGAGAAGCTTTTGTAGATCTTGAAGAAATACTTGTAGATCTTAAAATTTCTTCAAAATCTTCACTGCTCCTTGGATAAAATCCTAGATCCACAAGCTAGGATCCTCTAAAAAAAATATCCAAGTAGCAAATGGCCACGCAAGGCCAAGGAAGAACCTTGCTCTATAGACCAATGTAATGCCCAAGGCTATTATAATGGCGGTTACAAGGCTTTTATAGTATTCCAATACAAAATAGTAGCTCTAACTAGCCTTGATGGCCTTGGAGATGAAGATCTTCTTGATGCCTTTGATGGAAAACACTTGGAGTAGTAGTGCAGGGAAGCTTGGGAGAGAGCCAAAAGGACTTAGTCAAATAATCCCATTTCCAATTGTTTAGTTGGAGTGGGAGGTGGAGAATGAGCTTGCTTAGCTCAGACCCCCTCAATACACCCCTTGGGGAACTATCTCAATCATGGTTTCCATGGTGGGATGGTTCCTAGGCTTGGAGCCTATGTGGCAACTGTGTTGGGTTGGAAAACCCAACGTAGAACCATTCACTGGTTGTGTTTAGGATAGAGTAGATTGTAACAATTGTTTGGCAGTTTCTGATTGGTTGGAATTCCAACCTTTGTGATTTCACTTTGATGGGTTGGAGTTTCCCAATCCTCTTGGTTGAGGTTTGGAAAACCAAACCAACCCTTCCATCCCAACCAAAGCCAACCTTCTTCTCCAAGTCCCTCTTTGTCGAGAAAACTCTCGACATTTGCCTAGAGGGAAGTTGGTTTGTTAGCTTAGTTAGGGCAACACGTTACAGAATTGGCGGGCAGTGCAGCTCTAGGGAATCGAGCCGCGGGCAGGAAGAGAAAAGCGACTCCAGCCCGACTTCAGTGAAGGCGGTGCGGTGGTCAGGACGAGATGACGTGGACGCGACGCGCCTGCCGCGAATGGTAACCGGCTCGTCCATGTTGCCGAGACGGAAGTGACTAAGCAATGGACACGTGGCAGCTAATTGAGAGAGGAGGTGGTTGTTGGCCAATGAGAGATTGCCATCTGGCAGAACGATTGACGTCAGTGATGGGAACGAAGCGACGCCCTTCAAGAATCGCCGGGTGCACAGCCGACGCTCAGGCGACAGTGCGACGTGCGAGCGAGTCGCACAGGCGACACAGTACCATCGGCGACAGAAGAGGGCGTAACTACCGTCAATCTCATCAAATTCTGAGCTAGAGATCCCGGTGAGATTATGAGAAGAATCGGCGCGCCGTTTGCCGACGGGTGGCTGGGAGAGATTAGGTGCAGGTTACGGATGTAGCTGAAATTGCACTCGGTCAGGTTACCGATTAGGTGCCCGTCCCTAACCGTTCCACTCGCCATGAGGGACGGGCTCGACGTTGCTGAAGATGCGACCGAGTATGTCGTCCGAAAGGCGGTCGACCGGAGAGGACTCCAGGCTCAAGATGTCAGTCGCCTCGAACGACATTAGCGCAGCGCTTGTGGCATCAACCGTCTGGTTCAAGAAATCAGCCATTGCTGATAGACTGGTGGGAATGATAAAGAGACTGAGCTGGATGGAGTTGCCGAGAAAAATTTAGTCAAACAACTCTACTCTCTGACGTGCTGTCCTGCACAAGCAGCATTCCTGTACGAATCCACCCCAGGTGATGCCCACCCCATGCACGTGAATTTGCTCTGCGCCGGATGGAAACGCTGCACCCGAGGTATTTTCCCCAGCCTGTTGCACCCACGTTACAAGCGCGTCGCGTGGTTATGAACCAACAGTAACGAACAGACCGAAGTCAAACTGAAGAGACTGAAGTCAAAATGTCGACGGATAAGGTTACAAATCCTTTATATAAGCACATGAGAATCCTTTTTAGCTACACATGATGCCCGTTTGACTAAGTGTAAGGAATTTTCTCGATATTCCTTAGCGCACCCTGCAACACCACATACAGCAGCAGCCGTTGTTCGCCCGTTACTGCTAACGGGGCTTCGCCGACTTCGCGCGCACTGTTTCACCAAACCTCGCACTGCTGGCCCGGCCGTGTCGGCCTACGCTTCGGGACTAGCCTGAGCCTCGCTTCAAGCGTAGCACTAGCTAGCTCGCACGCACCACGTTACCGTTTGCATGTTTCGCGTATAAATGTTCGCTCATGCCTTCGCTCACATTTTGTACTCGTTTGACACCTTAGTGCAATCCTCGCTACTTCGATTCATTGCACCCGTAACACTTGGTATCGGAGCCTCTTTCCTTTCGGACCGTGCATCTCCGCACCCCAAGAAATCAATTTTTGATTTTTTTTCACTCGAAGACTCACGCACCTTCGCATCTAGGAGCCCTTGTCCTCGCGTTCTCTTGTAAACGCGTGCAGCCACGACTGCGCCTGGACTAAGACGAGCCGATGCCCTTCAGAATGGCAGAGCATATTGATGTCACTAACCTCACGCAGGACCGCCTGGACGAGTTGATGCGACAACTGCACGAAAACTCCGAACAAACCGCGGCGTTAACAGCGGAACGCACCTCCCTGCAAAATGACCTCGCACGAGCACAATCCCAAGCACCTGTCACTCCGATTCAGCCCGCACCACAGACATCGCAACACGGAAGTGTGGGGCAACCCGCGAGCGTCGCAAGTGATGGCGTCGTCCGCCATAACGGAGACGACGACCACGGCACAACGCACCCCGACGCGACGAATGCGGCCAGGAATCAGCCTCGAGTCACTATTTCGGTGCCGGCCGGCGAATCAGCTCTACCGTCGCCGATGATGCTGAAGCCGCAGCGTCCGCCATACTTTGACCCAAGTGAGCGGGGTGGTCCTACCGTTTAGGCGTGGCTCTTCACGTTGAACGTTTTCTTCGACGCGAACTACGTCTCAGAGGATACGGCAAAGAATCACTACGCCGTGTCGTTGCTGCGAGGACCCGCCATGGACTTGTGGCGTGTCATCGTCACGAAGCCAGTGGACTACGCGACTCTTCCCGGCCGAATAAGGAAGGTACTACGGTAGACAACCCCATACTGCTTAGTGGGAAAATTGGGACGGACTTAGTAAAAATCTTTGTAGACGGAGGGTCCAGCCACAGCTTTATCAACACTGTCACAGCACAAAAACTGCCTGAGATTGACGCGAGACCGGCCGACGGCACGCCGCTGGCGATACGGGAACGTGTGGACCGAGTTCGTATTCGATGCGGGGAAATGCTCGCAACAACCCTCGACAGAACCGACATTTTACTCGGCCGTGATTGGCTGCGACGACACAATCCGCGAATCGACTGGACGACGGGGAACTGCACTGTGCGAGTGAACGGTAACAACATCGCCTTACCTCGCTGGGGCTCGCCTGAGTCTTCGTCGGTGCGTGTCAACGCGATCACAATGAAACGCGCCGTAGCGGCAGGAGCTGACATGTACGCGGTTGACATTCGGGAAGCCGAGGCAGCAGACAAAGGGGGGGATTTACAAAAACTGCTAGCCGACGTACCGGGGGATCTGGCAGCACTGTTGAAGCAGTACAGTGACATTTTCCCAGACGACCTACCGACGGGACTGCCACTTCAGCGACCGCACGACCACAGGATAGAACTCAAACCGGGGGCACAGCCAACAGTACAGCGACAGTTCCGATTGACCCAACCCAAACTGGACGAACTGAGGAAGCAGCTGGATTACGTGCTCGAAAAGGAGTTCATTCGCCCTAGTTCGTCGCCTTTCGCAGCACCGATACTGTTCACACCAAAAAAGGACGTGGGATTTTGCATGTGCATAGATTACCGAGCACTGAACAGGGTTACCATCAAATCCCGTTACCCCATCCCGCGAGCCGACGAACTGATCGACCAACTGCGCACAGCCCGGGTTTTCTCGAAAATCGACCTTCGGGGAGGTTACCACCAAATTCGCGTCAACCCACCAGACTGCCCCAAGACAGCCTTCCAAATACGCTACGGATCCTTTGAATACACCGTCATGCCCTTCGGACTGACCAACGTGTTGAAATAGTAGGCATAGCCTAGGACTAGGTAACTAGGGTTTAGCCTAGGCAACGGAGAAGTCCAAGCAAAGGAGTGGTTGCACTATGAAGAGAGAGGTACAAATAGAAGAGAACCAACAAGGAGTGGTGCACCACCACACAGAACACTAGGTAACTACTCTACAACTAGGACTATATGCACTTATACAGACATATATATAAGATATATTATGACACACCCCCTAAGTGCATGCAGGAATAGCCATTGAGCAGAATATCCATGAAGTGGTACACCCTGTAGGGCGCAGCAAAAGTAGAGGCGAAATGAGGAGGAGAAAGAACAGTGAGGAGAGTGGAGATAGAAGGCGACGGGTGAAGCCGCAGTCGCACGGGCAACAGGAGCGGCGTGCACAGTGGCTACCGAGCGCACGGGGGCACCGGACTACGGGAGTATCTGACTCCGCGACTACGACGAGCGGCAGGAGTAACGGACCCACAGGCGACAGGCGAAGCAGGCTTGCTGGGCTACCGAGAGCACGAGGGCTCCAGACTAATGGCGCTGCTGACGACACGATGGTGACCTCCGCTCAACCTCCCCTAACTCTCCCACACCCCCTTCTCACACACCCCGTGCTGCACCCCTAGATCCAATACCACGGCACCCCCCTAGCGCCACTCCCCTCAGCTCCCACACATCCACCCCCCTCAGCGGTAGCTGCTGCAGTGGGAGACGGAGGAGGAGAAGGAAGGCGCGTCGCACACGTATCACCCCCACACCCGCCACCCCCACACCCTCCTGTCCAGGGCAACGTCGTTTGGGCAACGTCGACAACTTGGTCAAAGTTCGCAGTGAAGGAGCTGCTCGAAGGGCTTCGTCGAGCTGCAGGGGATCACTGTGGTGTTGCCGTCGACCAGGAGTGCCGTCGATTAGGGAGCTCGACAGCTGCAGCTAACTGGGTTGGGCGACGGGTAGGCCGTCGACCAGGAGTGGTAGTTCGACCTGACAAGTGAGCAGCGGTCGACGCGGGGAGCTCGGCGACAACACCTGATAGTTCTGATCGACGGAAGGGGTCCGGCGACCAGAGGGTAGCTTGACAAGAGCTGTGGTCGACCAAAGGCACCCAGTGTTCGACCAGAAGCACTTGGTGGTCGGCCGGAGGCACCTGGTGGTCGACCAGAGCACTTGGTGATCGACGAAGTCGACCGCGTAACCTGCTCGACGAGTTCTGCGGAGGCACACGAACGTCGTCGATGTCGCGATGGCGAAGGTGACCTCGGATTGGTGTCCCGAAGTCGATGTGGCTCGTCAGGCGCGGACGACAGCCGACGGATGCACAACGAGGCAGGTCGGGCCAGTCGTCTGCGCACACCTGCGAGTATGCGCACTGCTGTTTTCTACGGGGCAATGCTGGACATCCGCTCTATTGCAGCGTTGGCACGCCGTCGACCTGCTGCGTTGGCAGGTCGCCCTTCTGCAGTGCTCGCGCGGCTCCTCTACGCAACGCTCGCAGGCGGTGGACCAAGTTGTGCTGGCGGTCGACCAGGCTAGCTGCAGGGTTGCTAGGTGACTGATGTAGTCATTCTTGTCATTGTGAACGCAATCATTCTGTAATTTCGACTTTGCTAGTGAAACTCTTGCCAACTTCTCCCGTGAATATGCAAGTGATAAGGAACGCAAGCAAAGCTACAATCACTCTCAGTAGTTCGTGCCAACCCCTATAGTCTAGCTCACTACCTTTATCGAGTGACTCTCCGCATGGTGCGGTGAGCGTGGATAGAACACGCGACCTTCAGACAAGAGCCGAATTTTGCACCTACTAAGTTGTCGTAGGTCAGCAGCAGCGTTAGTCGCCATGGTCGACCCCGTAGTTGATGTGGGCGTAGCGGAAACCTTGGAGGCACGTTTGGCTGACGCGAGGAAACGCCACGTGGATGGCGAGTACGGGATGATCCCCTTAATGATCGTCGAGTTGGGCATCCGGTCGCAGTGGGCGACAGAACACCCTTCCCGTCCTGCATCTCCTCGACCGGTGCAAAACGAGGTCGATGGCGGTGCACGAGTCAGCAGCAGCAAAGGCACGAGGCAGAGAGGGGTGAACAAGGTCGGCGGTGGTGTCGATAGGATTATGGCGCGAGTGTAGCGGTCGATGGTGGCTGCAGGCAGCTCGCGTGCCGACGTCGATGGTCGACGTCGATTTCCTCTACAAAGCGGTGGAGGTCTCTCGGCGATGACGCACGTGACGGCGGGCGGGATTGCACCGGCGTATGGCTACTTCAAGTTCTCGCCGGACCGGATCACCGTCGCACCGGTGCAAGGTCGACGGGACCTCATCACCTGGACAGAGTCAATAGAACCTCAACTGGAGGTCGCCGTGCATAAGGGCTTTGCCGACGGCACTGTGCCAATTCCGCCCGTGGACGATGTTGAGCTGCGCGGGGAGTTTCGTGCTACTCACCTTGTCACCTTCATGGTCATCTCAAGGTGCTGCTCGACGGTGTTTCAGCTAGCGCTGAGGAGCTGTCGAGAGCGATTGGATGCTGGTCACCA